CCGACCCCCGGCCCGACCTCCGGCCGCGGCCGCCCCGCCGGTGCCCCCGCCCCGGGGAGCCTGCCCCGGGCCGCAGCCGCCGCTCCGCCGCCCCGTTTTCAAGCGAAACCGCTGATGACGCCGTTCCGCTCCTCTCGGCGACCCGGAAGCGCCGAGGCGCGCCCCGCCCCCTGACCCGGAAGCTCCTCCCCGCTGTCTTTCCGGTGAGGAGGCCGCCGCCGCCGGAGCCGGGCCGGGGCCGCCGCTGGGGGGGAGCCCGGTAATGTGCGGGGCGGCGGGACCGCAGGCGGGGGGCCGGGCAGCGGGACTTCCGGGGCCGGGGCGATCTGGAAGCGGAAATGGAGGAGGGCGGGCTGTCTGTCTGTCTGTCCGCCCGCCCGTCTGTCCCGGTGTCGCGGGCTCCGCCACGGGGGAGCCGCGCTCCGGGCCGGCCCCGCCCTCGGCCGCCGCGGGGGGAGGCGCGCCCGGGCCCTCCGGGAGCGCCTGCCCCGCGTATGGCCGGGGCGCCCCGGGCCGCGGGCCCCCGGAGCGCCGCCCGCTGCCATGCGGGGCCCCGGGCGCCCCGGTAACCGAGGCGGTTTATTTGCAGAGCCGGCCCTGGAAGGAGGAGAAATGCAAGAGGAGGGAGAGTGAGAGGGGTAAGGAGCTCCCGGAGCTGCGTGAGTGACCCCCGCCCCTCCGCCCGGGGCTGCCGCGGGGCGGGAGAGATGGGATGGGCCGCGGGTCCCGGAGCCGGGGGCGAGAGGGCGCCTGAGCTCCAGGGTGCGGGAGCAGGGATTGACCGCCTGGAAGGAGCTGAGGCGCAGGGTATGCCCTGTGCCAGGCACCTGTTCCAGCAGAGGCTCGCCCGGTCGGGGTGGAGGCTGCACAAGTGTCGGGGAACGGCACCAAAGTTCTGTCTCTAGTGTGCGGGTTTGGGATCCAGGACTTTGTCCGGTACATTTGGGATATTCCTGATGGGTGTTCAAATGCGCTTGTTCTAAAGGTGTAACAGCGTTTGAACTTTCTGGTGCTTATGGTTACCGGGAAAGCATTTTTGCTTTTGTGGTAACAGCCTGTGTGGCTTTCAGCATCCTTAGTATTTTGCAGCAATTAAGCCTAAAAGCTCCTTGTCATTGAACAAAGATCTTGGGCAGACGTAAAACAACAGTGCAAATTGTTCCCAAGCATTACTCTCAGGGCCTTTTGTTGACTGAAAACTCCATGCCAATGGGAAATAAAAGCCAGGCATCTGGAGAATAAAGAAACCCATGTTAAAAGTCAACCTTTGAATAAATATCTGCATACCCAGCCTTGATTGTGCCTTCCAGAAACACAGCCTCGATCTCACCGTATACTTGCACGTGCTTTTATTTATCTGTTTATGATTAAAGTGATGACCTGCCAAGAAGTATAAATGCAGCAAATTTATATGTGATTCTGTGAGATCTGAACTCCAGATCCCTTGTGAGTTCTCTGGTTCACTCGGTTGTTTATTTGGTGTATGTACATTTGTGGTCTGTACACAGAAAGTGTTTTTGGTTTATATCAGGAGGGTACGTTGGCATCTGTCTGATACTAGACTGGTGAATAGGAAGAAGGTCCCATCTCTGGCCTGTTTGTGGAAGCTGGGATGATGAAGGCCCTGCAGTGGGAGCGTGCTGTGGTGCAGGGTTGAAGCTCCAGCCCATGTCTGGTAGTTATAGAGCAATTGGAAGGGTTACGAGCAGAGTTCTGGTAAAGTAAGTGTGAGCAGCGTCTGAGTGCGGGCTGCCAATAGGGGTGCATGTTTTCAAAATACCCTTTTAGCCTAAAAATGGGGTAGGGGAGGGACAGCTCTGGGTACTAGGCCAGTAGGTTGGTGGAGGAATCTTACCTTTGTTTTCTGCCTTTGGAAGACTGGCTTGCTAGTGAAATTGCATGAAAGCTTCAACTTTTACACCATTTCTCCTTTTCCTCCACATTCTTATAACTCCATCACACTTCAGCCTTTCAAGCCAGAAGTTTGAGGCCTGATAGATAATATGCTCAAGCATTGAGATTTTTGGACAGGGAGGTGGCTTCTAAGGGAGTCTAATGAAATCAGTGTAGCCGTGCTTTGAAGAATCAGTAAGAGCCGTGTTTGACCTGCACACTTTGTAAGCTGAGCAAACAAAAGTTAGATTCTCTGTGAAGTTCTGGTGGAAGACAAGATGGAGACAGGCAGACACTGAGTGCCCTGGCCTCTGCTAGTCTGGATTTTGGAATCTGGAAATGGGCTTTTCTTTCATTACTTTTTCTCTTTAAATAAGAAAGCTGTTGTGAGGTTTTTTTGCTTAAATTGGCATCTTTCTGTTTAACTCCTGAAGTTTGCAGTTGCATCCAAGGGAGTCTTGGACAACTACAAAGTTTCTCTGGAAAATGCATTTGATTATTATTATTATTATTATTATATGAGTTTTTGTGGTTTTGGACAGTCAGGTTCACTTTGGTGTTTTTGATGTGGAAGCTAAGCAAATAACAGCTTATTTATTTTAAAAACAAAACAAACACCAAGCAAAAAACCTCAAACTTGGAAATTCCAAGCAAAATACCGCTCTTGATTAAGGTGGTGCTCAGTTGCCAAGGATGTGTTATCTCCTCATGTGTGCCCATCCTGCGTAAGAAAAAAGTCATGTAATTAAGTGTTACATGCATAGGGCTGTGCTGTGGGCAGTGTACTTAATAATTAATTTGGCTCAGCAAAGAAAGCAGAGGAAGGAAGGTAAGAGTCTTGCCCCATCAGCCTCTGATTGAATCACAGCGGTGTAAATCCAGAGTAATTCAGTCAGGCAGCGAGCAGTCTGACTGCATGCCACCAACGTAAGGTAAATAATTTATCCTTAAGTGTGTTTATTGGTTGATTTGCAGTGAGTGAGTGAGGCAGGAGTACTTGGCCTTGCTGTTGCATGAGCAATTCATAAAAACAAAATTATCGGGTGATTTGGTTCATTTAAATACTGCTTCTCCACATAGAGGAAAATTATCTTTGCATTTTGGCTCACACACAGCAATTCCACATGTATTTATTCTGTCTTCATATACTTCTGTAATGTGTTTCATGCTGCTGGGGGCATCCCTCTGAGCTCCCCTGATGATTGAGATAGACTCTTCAGAAGCAATATTGTTCAATTATTAGACCACTGACAGACCATAACAGAAATACGAGTAGGAGAGTTTGCAGGTAGCTGCATGAAAAACCTACAGTGGTTGTGCTCTCTGCCAAATATATTCTGAGCATAGTTTTTACCTACCACTTTTGCCATATTTGTTTAGGAATAGATGTATCTTCTGTTTCAGAAAATACTGTTTTGTTAATTTCTTTAGGTTTTGAGTAGTGTTTTTGCAAGTGTCACAAACTTTGTTCGCTAGCGGTATTACACAGAGGAATGTAAGGATTAGAAAGGAAAGTGCTTCTTCAGTCAGGTGCTCCCAAAGAGATTATACCTCTGTGCTCAGGAGACTCTTTTGGTGTCTAACTCATCTTCTGAATGCAGGGAGAGTTGAGATGGAGCAGTGGGCACTTGCCTGGGGACAGAGTCCTACAGAATCTTGTCCCAAAGATGGGAAGAAAATGGGTAGTGGGAGCCACTTGGAAATAGGGTATCTCAGGAGCAGGGGAATCAGGTTATTTTCCTACTGCTTAGTCACATTGGAGGAGAGCAGGAATATTGAATGATATTTCTGTGTTTCTTTCAAGAGTGGGGCTGGGGTGGGCAGCAGGAAGTTAGGAGCCCTGAGTTTGACTTCTTGGTCTGCTGTGGCTGTCTGTTATCTTGGGCAAGTCTGTTTCCCTCTCTCTGCCTGTCTTTCTTCCTGTGTAACATAATGCTAATGTCCTTTTGCTGCATCTGGGTCCTTAGGGTTGAGCTGGGGTGGAGGGACAGGCAAGGTCCAAAATTTTCACTGCCTGTGGGGTCAGACTGTCTGTGATGGTGAAAAACAGTTTTCATCTGTATTTGCCTGCTTGCAGATGCACAGATTTCATTTATGCCATGTACTTGGGTGGATGATAATTGGGAAAATTTGGATGTGTTCTGGGTTTCTAGTCAGTCCTGTTTTTTGCATGGAGGACTACTGGGCAAGGGGCATTTCAGATGGACACAAGCCCGTGGGAATAACAGGCATCTTTTCCCCCTGAAAATAATTTTTTTATTTGGGCAGATAGCTCAAAACGGGGGAGAAATTGCTCAAGAAAGATAGGGGAGATTAAGAAGAAAGATAGGGGAGATTAAGGAACTGTCACAGCATTAGACTGAGTCAGTTCCATTTAGGAATCTCTTTGAGTTTAATGGGTTTTTCTTGTGTGTTTGTGTGTCTGTCTTCCTTATCCTCCACTCCTCTTCCCTTCCCCCTTCCTCTTGCCCCCTGTGCCCAGCTAGGATGGAAGAATCTCATTTCAACTCCTCCCCGTACTTCTGGCCAGCAGTGCCCACCGTCTCGGGACAGGTAAGATCTTCCAGCCTGTTGTGTTGGTCTTGCTTCCTGTCAGAAGTTTACGATGCGTGTTGCACGATGAGTGTTTCTGTTGCATTTGTTGCTCAGCGAAATGCTGGGCAAAGGTGTGCCAGGGTATGCTAAAACCTGTCCTTCCCCCGTTTAGATTGAGAACACCATGTTCATTAACAAGATGAAGGAGCAGCTACTGCCCACAGAGAAGGGCTGCAGCCTGGCTCCCCCCCACTACCCTGCCTTGCTGACAGTCCCCACCTCTGTGGCCCTGCCCACTGGTATCTCCATGGACTCGGACACCAAGCCGGAGCAGCTGACACCACACAGCCAAGCCCCCGTGACTCAGAACATCACCGTGGTACCAGTGCAGTCTGCTGGGCTCATGACAGCAGGTAGGGCACTCCAAAGGCTTCAGCAGCCTGCAAAGGGGACTGTGGGATGGGGAAACACGAGGTCCTGGAGAATCCTTATTGGCCTGTAGATTATTCCTAGCCTTACTGATGGTGTGGCCTGCCTTGGTGTGGTTTCGCTGTGAATCTCTAGTCACTCCATACATCCACCCTTTTTACGGAAGTTTGAGTTCCAGCAGTGGAGACTGGGGATGCTTTGGGAGGGGAAGCTACCCTTCTGTTTGTGTTGTAGTCAAAAGTAGGTGCTTCTGTGGGATAAGGAGTTTGGGCATAACTGGAGATGTAATAACTGACTTCCTCCACCTTCCTTTGTTTGCAGGTCCTGGTCTGGTGATAACTTCCCCGTCAGGTTCTCTGGTGACCACAGCTGCCTCTGCCCAGACCTTTCCCATCTCAGCTCCCATGATTGTCTCTGCGCTACCCCCTGGCTCCCAGGCAGCCCTGCAGGTGGTTCCAGACCTGTCCAAGAAAGGGACAGCCGCCCTTGCTGAAGGTGGCGGGGGTGGGGGAGTTGCCCCCAAACCACCCCGGGGCCGTAAGAAGAAAAGATTGCAGGAGTCGGGGCTGCCAGAGATGAGCGACCCCTTTGTGCTGACAAATGAGGATGATGAGGACCAGCACAAGGATGGCAAGACATACAGGTGGGGAGTGGGGTTAAACCTTGACTGTAACATTGCATGGGGATGGGGGTGTAACCCTTCAGAGGGTTACGTGGGAAGAAGAGATCTCTGCCTTGTACCTAGAGAGTCCCTGAGCAGAGAATCTTAGAGCTGCAGAAAGAGTTGAGTTTTCTTCCTGGTCAGGAATACTTACAAGCTGATGGGTTGACCCAAAACTAAGAATTTCCTTTTAGTGGACAGTCTTGATTTCCTGAATATATAGTTGTTAATGTTACTAGGTTAGTTAATGACCAGGATGTTATGGAGGCTAAACTACATCCTTGATGGCACAGCCAGGTAGTATGGCTGGTGCAGCTGGAGCACTCCTGGTGTAGCTGAGAGCCCTGCCATACCTGGGTGCTCCTCAGTTAGGACTCCAGTCTGTCCAGTGTAAAGACTACAAACTGGAGATACACGGAGCAGAAAGTGAGCTGTGGTGGTAGTGTCTGCTCCTGTGTGTATTGCCCCATGTGATCTCCTTCTATCTCAGCACTCCAAACAAAACAAGGGGAAAAAAATATTTCTGAATTAAATATTAAGCGTATTTCTGAGCCCTGAGTTGTCAGATAAGAGGGAGGAGAGTTCTGAGCCCTGAGGTTGGGTTTCTGAGCTTGGAGGGATGTGGCTTTAGTTTATGAGTGGTGGGGAGGGGAGAGATAAGGTAGGAGGGAATACTTGAACCAGAGGATATGCAGTGTGGGTGTTTCAGCAGAGGTGGGAACCAGACAGAGCAGAAAGTGGTAGGCAGTAAATGTGATGGTCTGTCTTAGGAGGGAAGCAGGAGCACTTTTGGGTGATTCAATGATAGGTGTTGGATGATTAAGATAAATAAGAGGCGAAACAGCCAAATTGAAACAGAAATAGGAGATGGTCCCTAAGTCTTCTCACTTGCCCATAATGTGCCCAGGATCCCATATCAAACAGTTTTGCTTTTATCATCCTAGATGTTCTTTGTTTTGGTACAGATATAGTTACCTTTCTGGAATTACGCCTTAGGAATATGAAGGCATCTACATAGCATCTGTGCATCCACCCCAGGCATTTTTTCACTTTTATCTATAGCGGTTTTTTAATGTTTACATTTTTTTTTAATCAACATAGTTAAATGGGTAGAAAACCAGAGCTTGGATCAGCCTTTTTATCTTAGCCAATGTCCCAGTTCTTCCACTTTGAAAATATAATCAGCGTATGGTGAGGAAGGGTGGGAGTGTTAGGTAGCTTGCTATTTGTAATCCCACCATTTATTTTGGGCCATAGCCACAGATCCACACTACTCAAGCTGCTTACAGTCTGGGTTGCTAATTAGGTTGTTAAATATGTATTTACAGGGGACACAATTGGCAGTGAACACTAGAATTAAAGCTGAACCAGGGCTTTAATTATAGCTCCTTGTTTACTTGTAAGTTTGGAAAAAAATGCCCAAGACCAGGTGGAGTGACTCAGCAGAAACTTTATGAACATGCTTAGTCTGTGTAACAGCTCATGAAAAAGCCTTTGCAGGGAAAAAACAGATGAGTGTATATGTGGGAACATGTAATTTCTTTATGTTTAAGATTTCTTTATGTTTAATCTGAGTGTGGTACCTCTTTCAGCAGCTCCCACCCTAAGCAGGCCTTCCTCTGAGCAGTGCTTGGGTGTGAGAGAGCTAAATTGAGATTTATTGAAGACCCCCAATAGTGGTACCTCAGGAGGGAGTACTTCTGCCCTCCTTGAGATCTGCACTTTGGATGATGCATCCCATGTGCAAGTTTGGAACTAAAAATGATTGCTGGAAAAATAAAGGAAAGCGCTATCTTCTCTTGGAGCTGTGGGAGAGAAGGCCTTTGTGCAACATAGTAAAATCATTTCTCTATAATATGCATATGAATAGACTCACAAGCTAAAACTTTGAGCAATACTGGGATCCTTCTGTATTCTAGAGGATGATTTCAGTAGTTCCCGTCACTACAGTATGCAGACATATGCTAGCTAAATTAAGACTGTGGGTGAGGTTGCTCTACTCCTGCTTCTTTCTCAGGCTGGAGGAGGAGTTGGTTTTGGCATTCATATGACTACGTTTGTATGATTTCACTGATTCCCATGATGACACACTGAGAATAATGTACTCAGATTCCTGGAAGGAGTTGTACTACATTGATCAGTGTGATTTTTTTATTTTTTTTTTTAAATACCCAATTCCTAAATCCTGGGATTGTTTTGTCAAATTTAATTATCTTTTTAAGCTTTGTTCCTGAGCTCCGTGAGCTCTCTTGTCATGAGTGTCTGGGCAGGTGGCTAATATTTGTAATTCCTGACTCTTAGTGTGGTGATAAAGACAAAGTAAGGCCTTGAATGAGCAGCACAGCTGGGCAGATGTGGGAGGTGTTGGAGCATAAACCTTGGTACCTGTACTGCAGCTCATCCCATTCTCTACTAAATGTAGAGATGCCTGCTCCAGCAAATGGCAGCTATTTTACTGCTGTATCATGTCTAGAAGTGAATTAGTAGGCTGCTGTGAAAGTGATGGAAGAATCTCTATGACTATGGTTTTTTTGGTAAGAAAAGGTGTGAGGCTTTTGCTAACGATGGCAATACTTGCAGATCTTTGACGTCTGTCCTTAGGATTTGTCTGGCAAAGTCCTTGGTGCTTTTCATTGTGCTACTGGAAAAATGCTTGCACCTGCAGGGGACAGCATCTAACCCAGTCCTGTGAAGCATTTTCTTTCATGAGTAATGTCACTTCAGTCTTGTCTGGATTCATCATCAGCTCTTTGTTAATCTTCCCCAACATCTTTGTAGAATTCGCTTTTTCTTTGGAAAATGAGATCAGCATCGAGAGTCTCTCTAGAAAGATGCTGGCACTGTGGAGCACATGGCTTCTTCCCAGTGCTTTAAAAGGTGCTGAGGAAAAGGTAGCAAGCAGGTCCTGGATGCAGTAGGATTGTTTTTCAGTCCTGGTGCGGTGCCTGTACCTGTGCAGTTTCAGAAGTCTGTGGTGTGATATGATCAGTGGACAAGACTGACCACTCTGGGCCAGATCATCAGTTCTCTTTCTCTTGACAGTTCTCTAAGCAGTTTCTTTGTAAGAGGAAGAGAGCTCTGTATAGGCATTGCTAGGCTCTGGTACTAAGTAAAATCTCGGATGAATACCAGTTTATAGTCTGGAATGTTTTGCAAGCTGTGCTCTGGAGCCTCGAATACCAGCAGAAAAGTTGTCGGCTTGAGAAGGGCCTCACTGTCATAGTGTAATCAACAAGCTCTGTCTTCTCCACTTCTAGTTTTGAGTTTTCCTTACTTTCACTGGGGAACAGCAGGGAAGTTGAGAGACAATAAGCAGCTGAGGGACGTAGGAAACTACAGAGATGAGTCCAAGGTGCAAAAGTGTACAGAAGCCTTTGTGAACTGAGCTGTGGAAGTGAGGAAGCTGGATAGAGACCCTCATTAGAGAGAAAGTTATGTACACAAGGGGAACCAATGGTTGGAATACAGCAGGTGGGCATCTTCTCAGACATGTCTTGTTTTAAGCATGTTTTTTCTCCCCTGTACTGGATTTAGCATTACTGTTTAGTGAACTTCCCATAGTTTTGAATCAATTTGTAATGTGGTGGCTATGAGTTTAGTAAGCCACATATGTCTGTGTCTTGTTGAATTTGGCCGGTTTTAAGCATGCTTTGAGATGAGGTATAGTTTGCAGGTGGAAATATATGAAGGTAATATTCTCTTAGAGGCTTCTTGAGGCTTGCATGACCCCAGGCACTCAGCAGACAGTCCATCTCCACAGAAGGGACAAATACAGCCTAACTTCTCTCAGTTTCTGTGTGAGATTGGGCTATATATCTACTCTTCCTGCAGCTCTAAGCATCTTCTAGAATTGCACTGAAGGGCCAGACATGCTTTTCCTTCAGGCACGGCTGCTCCTCCTTCTGCTTCAGAAGGAGTCTCTAGTGCCTAGTGTGGACAGTAACCTCCCCCTCTGATGGACACAACAGCAAGGCGTGAAAAGACACTGCTTGGTTCAAACGTGGAAGGGATGAGAATGATCAGGGACTGGAGCTGTTTGTGCTGAGGAAATCTGGAAACTTGGTAGAGATAGGAACCAGAAAGGGGGAGAGAAAAGACAAGAGCCTACAAACTAGGGAATGCAGCAGAGGATGTGATGGGGAACCTCTCTGCAAGGGAGAGAGGGGAGAGCTAGCACAGGAATAAGCTAGCTATAAACAGCCAAGACTGAAGGGTGGAGGAAAGAACTATGTTGTGGTGCACCAGACCAGCGAGGTGCTGGAAAATGAGGTACTTAGAACTGGCAGAACAGAGAGGGACAAGAGTATGGGATGTGGACAGACAAACAGAAGCATGAGGGAGAGGAGATAAGTGATAGGTAACTGAGGGAATGAAGTAGCAAAGTGCCTCTGCAGTGGAGGATCAAGAGGCTGGTGCATGTGGGTAAAGAGCTTGGGTCTGGGCCTTGGTGCAGGAGAGGGGATTGCTCTGGGCTAAAAGGCTAAGGGCAAAAGGGGAATTAAGTTTAAAGTGTCAGGCAGAAAGTTTGACCACATTCCCTCCAAAGCCTAGAAATATTAAACCCAGTGTTTCTAAATTTTGCCATGGCTTTGATGTCAGAATAAGAATGTGACCTCCTCTGGCAAAGAACCTCATCTCCCTCTTAGGCTAGAGAAAGGTGACAAAGTATTGTTGCTGTCATTTATCATCTTAGCTGCAGTGGCAGAGGTCTGTGCAGTGGATTTTAAGATTGCTGATGACCAACGTGGGTGTCAGTATGATGCCACACGTTGGAATTTCTGTTTGCTTTTTTTAACAAGTGGTTCCGTGAGCAGCGGAACTAATGATGCCTGGTTTCCAGCGGCTCTCTCCTGTGTGGATTCTCTGATGTCTAATCAAGGGTGAGCTTATTAGCCTTTCCCTCAGTAGAGGACTCCAAGAGAGTCTCTCTTCTTTCCTGAGCTGCATATTTTTGAAACTCATGTTGCCTTTTAAGATCCTTATTCCTTTTCCAGATTGGTTGGCATTGGCTTATGATCTCAGAGCTCTAAGGAACACTTGCACATGCACATTTACATATACACATGCAGTTTGTACACATAATCCTTGCTTTGTATATAAATGCAGTGCTTGGAGCTTAGAAAATGACAATTTGACTGGCTACATGCCTGAGGGTATAATGAGATAAAACCTTGTGTTATGGTAAGTTCTCTCCCTTCTGCTGAGATATTGTAACTGTGTGTGTGTGCACGTACTTGCTTTCCCTTGGCAGTTCCTCATAGTGCCTAACAGAAGGAATTGACAGGGGAAGTTCTCAGTCACAAATTCTAATTTTGGCATGTTACTTGTCAATGGAATGAATGAGTGTGTGCAAGGGAATGAGGAGGACAGTCACAGTTTCAGCTTGGGAGGGAAGGAACTTTAAAACTCTATTTTGTGCCTCTTATCTGATTACGCCTTAATTTGGCCCTACTGAGTCAATGCACTTTGATACCATCCTTGATTAGTTATTAGTGCATGATAGCCCGTCAGAGACCTGCATGTTTGCTGAACCTGAAAGGAATATTCTCTGAAAAGAAAATAAAACGCATTGACATGGGATTGTGGAATTGTGGAGCATCATCTGGGGAAGGCATTTGCTAGTATGAAGAACTGTTGATTACATTTGCCTCTGCCACAGATTGCTGTGGTATCCTACAGCCCGACAGATAATCTTGCCTTGAAGTGTGTGCAAGTATGAGTTAGGTTGAATCTGCAGTGGATTTGCATTTGTCTCAGGCTACAAATGACCATAGAGAGTTACCCTGAAATAATTAATTTGGTGTTTCCAAAACCATAATCTCAAGTATCATTGAACATTTCTCTGTTACAGGTCAGACCCTCTTCTGCTTTGCAGAAGTGTTGTAGCTCATAGGAGTAGCATGCAAATCTGTAGGAGCAGATGTAATAGGAATTTTCCTTTAAAGGAAAAAAAGAGGTCACAGATATCAGTTTGTCCTCTTGGAATTAGTGGGTACATCTCTCTGACTGTGTTTCACTGTGTCTTTTGTGATTCCCTTCCCTTACGAAAACTAAAGCAGGGACATTGTGGGGATAGATGAGCGCTTATGGAGCACTGATATTTCTGTGGTGGGTACAGGAGATGAATGATCTGCTTCACGAGGTTGGATTTGTGTGTGGTCACTGTCCTGTGTGGTGATATAAAAAACTGAATGCTTGCTTGTTAAGTATCTGTGTGTGCAACATAATAAGAGTGCAGTCCTGTGGAAATAGTCAATAAAGCTGTATCAGAACGCACCTGCGTTGCGGAGCCAAATTATGGTGACATGGATGACCTTAATCCTGGTGTTTCCAAATTTCCTAGTGCTTTCTAATGGGCCTTTTGTATTCTTTTAATTTTAGCTCTTGCATGTTATCACTATACTAGGAAGCACATTATTGTGTTTTATTGTTTTGTTGGTCTTTTATGCTAATGGTGACTGATTCCAAAAACTAGCGGACAGTGTCTTAGGCCTGATGTTCAGTGATTTGGAGGTCAACAGAAAGTCATGGCTGATAACCTAAAGATAAAAGCAATGCTGGTGGATAGCTGTAAAAAAATGGGATCTTTATGTAGTTGTTAATTGTTCAGACAAAATATTTTTTAATACAGTCCCATGGAAGACTTAGCCTTCTGGGACAGCCTGGTGTCTCCAGCAGCCAGGGATTAAGGTCCAGATGTTTGGACACAATGGAAAGCATTATCAGACAGAAGTGTTTTGTTGGACTATTGAATGTCTCAGGTCTAATATAAGGAATAAGGAGAAACAGTATCCTAGAAAGCAATGGCTGTGAAAAAGACTTTTAGGAATTAAGTGACATCTTGAAAGCTCCCAGTGCAAGACTGTGACGGAAGAGCTTTAAGGTGCAACTGTTTAAAGCATAAATGATTGAGTCATTAAAAGACAGGCAACATGTGAAGTATGCTGAAATACCACAAAATTCTGGGTCAGGTATTTTTAGGGTCATTTGGAAGAATGGACAAGAGGCAGGAATGCCCTCAAATCTGGGAACTGGGAAAGTGCCATATGATGAGAGCATGTTGAACTGCTCTTTGCCTTGGCAGTATATGAGAGTATGCTTTTCTGCAGCCTTACCAAGCCACCAGGTGACTGAAGGACTGTGGAAGTAAGTTGACCAAGATCTCTGAGCATACCTGATAGATTTATACTCCAGAAGTATAAACTGTTCATTGGAAGCACAGTGTTGGCTTTGGAGTAGGAGCTGATGCTGGGTGTGCCAGTGTGGAAGCAGAGGTACAATTCCTGTGCCTTCATCTGGAATTTTCATGCTCGCTGGCTTTATTTGCCTGTTGCCCAAGGGTACCTGTGTATCTTGGGTGTTTTGTCTCCTTTCTCCTCCTCTCTTACAAAATATTAACAAGAAAGTGTTTAGCTTAAAAAAATTGGGGGAATGTGAGGGTCAAGCATTTATCATGAACTGTGCATCCATTATTATGCTATGTTTGCATTAGTTACTTCATTAACTCTCCATTGCAAAGGCAGGACATTTCCTTCCTTTTTAAATGAGCTGCTGATTCTGACAGCCTAAATTTACTCTTATCATCTAGTCTAACTTCAGACTTTCCTGGTTTGATTTTTAGTTTTACTGATGGTCTAACTTGTATATGTAACCTAACAGAAGAAACAAGGACTCAATTAACTTGTAAGACTACTCTCAGTAGATACTAGGAATTCGAATTCTCAGAGCCATATAAAAGCTTACACAGTTTTCACAACTGTGATACTGATTAATTAAGCACTTGATTGAAAAAGGCTGTTAATCCATGTTGGGCAAATTTTACTATGAGCTGGTATTTCAGATGGCATTTTATCTCCTAACAGCATCTGATGAATGAGGCAGAACATTCCATGAAAAGTGGAAAAAAATACAGCACTGCGTGCCACAGAGTTGTAGTCTAGTTGCTATAGGCATCATTTTCTTTATGACTCACTGTGATGACTTTCATATGGAAGTAGAATTAGCATTGTACATCCACCTTTTGCTGGCATTTCATGATTTTTGAGAGTGTCTCTGTCTAACATGAACATTTTTTGAATGTCTTTATTTCATATAAAAAAGAAAGCATTATAAACATTGGAAGGGGTTACTTTTGATCTCTGGCATATGGCTGAGTGCTAATTTAACTGTTGATATGAACCTCTGTTTTATTAAGGATATTTTCTCCAAGGCTGTCTGAATTTGCAGAGCCATAACAAGCTGCTGCAGGGGATGTTGTGTCACACCATCAATGGGAATGCTGCAGCCATTTCTGTTTCTTGCTGTCAGAAAGAATGCAGCCAAAGGAGGGGTGGTTTAGAAGCACAGTGGGGAGACTATTAAAAATGGATATTAAACAGAGGGGGGGTAGAAATCAATTATTTCATATAGTGTTTCATTCATGCTTAGCAAGGAGCACTCCCTATTTTTCCTCTCCCCAGCCAGAATTTCACTGAAGTAGAACACTGAAATGCTGCTAGTGTCAGATGGGATATTCTCATTATCCATATAGATTTAACATTTTTTTGAATCCATATTCGCCCACTAGAGGGCTGATTGCATCTTCCCCTTTAATATTTGATGTTGTCTGAAGCAGAATGCAAAGCCCTTAATTAAATGGATCATTTGTTCCCATGAAAATGCCTGATACCACACAATATAAAATTCTGAAATGCAACTTTCTGTTATATTCCAGGGCTTTTTTTAACTCATAAGGCTCATGAATTTGTTAATGCTGCATAACATTCTTGCTCTCTCAGGGTTGATACTAATTAGATGATTAGAAAATGAGTTCTTGCAAGATTTTAATTCTAAATGTTGTTTGAAAAACAATATCAGAGTGTCTGTAGCTGCTAAATGCAGACAACAGAGGTTGGTTGGTTTGTTCATTTGAGGGTTTTGTTTTGATTTTGGGGTTTTTGGGGAGGTTAGGGTTTTGGGGGATTATGTTATCGTTGTTGAGCCCCGTTTTTGCTAATAATCAGGTTTATCATTGTCATGCAAGTGCCAGTGGTGTTTTGAAAACTTCTTTATAATTTTATTTTGAAAATAGAAAAGGACATGCAGTCTGTTTCTCTTCATTAAAGTTTATTTTAGAGGATTTCTGACCTGAAGGCAGATACCTGGCAAAGCAAATAAATAAAGGAAAGGGTGCACAGAAGTTATGGAAGATAAAGTTGATGGCTTTATGGCACTAGAGATTTAATGCATGGGACTACTTAGACTTGATGGCACAGTAAAGTTCATTAATTTTTCAGAACAGAATAGACTATTTAAAATATAAGAGTCCTGTGTACAGCACAGAAGAGATTAGTGCCATTAGCATTCTCTTTAAACTAGAGCAAACCCCTTAGAAGGGTATTTCTCTCAGAAAGGTACCTGGATTCTCAGAATGCTGATTGTAGGGGCCAGGTGATTGAGACCATATTGTAGCCTCCAAGCCTTGTTCCAAAGATGCATTATTCTCACGGTTGGAAAAGGCCTGTTCCTTCTTTTTTTCCACTTCTGGTGTCAGTTGTTGTTCCTTGTTATATCTGACTTGTTCATCAAATAAGCCCATAGTAATTGATATTTTTCTCTCTACGTAGATTTATTTGCATATTGAGCAAATTATCTTTTAAGCTTTACTCCAAAGCTAGAACGACTGGAGTTGGTGAATCTCTCCTGCAAAGCCAATTTTCCACATGCCATCATTCTTTAAGTTTGCTGAGCCTGTGTGAGTTTTGCAGTAATTGTTGAGGACACTGACTTCAGAATTAGACATGCTGTTGGCAAGAGCAGTCGTTCCCCTCCTGTATACAAAAAGGATACCTGCTATTCCCCTTTGTTTTGGTGAGCCATATTAGCACAGCATCACACTGGGAGCTTGTTCTCAATTGAATGGTTCCTTATCAGAGGGCCAATGCTGTGGAACGGGGTTCAATTGAGAGTAATGGAAGTCAGCATCTGCTGAGAAAGAGCTTGCTAAAAGTCAAGCGTGGGATTATGCTGTAATTGCTTGCATTAGCAGGGAACTGGACTTGGCGACTCAAAGGTATTTTTCAGTTCAGTGTTCACCTCAGAGTTATTTCTAACATTGGTGCTTTCAAGGATACTCAGTCCTCATCATGTAAGTATGGCTTGATTACTGCAGAATACATGTGCTCTATTCAAGTCTGGCATTTCAGGAAGTCTGGAACAAACTGTGTGACTTGAGATAGTTTGGTTTATAAACCAAGAGCTACTTTTTTAAAAAAAAGATGATGCTGATGTTCCTTTTTACTCCTTATATCTTTAACTGATATAGGGATAAACAGCCAAATTGCTTCTGTTTGTTGATTCCAGCAGGGATTGGTGTGTGTGTGTGTGTATTGAAGAGGGATTTATGTAAGGATATACTTAGTTTGCATGTTCTGCTAGGGCTTGCAATTAAAATGGATTAAGAGAAAGATGAAGGTAGGACACGTGGGAACAACTGTTAGAGATGATAATGAATGTAAAAGAGCAAAGGTGGAGAGGAGGGAAATGTTATGACAGGTGTGTGTTAAAGTGCTTGCTAGGAAGGCATGGCTTCCAGCTAAATGGCTTGGAATCAAGCTGTGGCTCGGAAGGGCCTGTGGAAGTTAAGGTGGGTGCTGGATGAATACTGCTTACATGACATACGCTAATCAGACTGCACACATCATAAAGCTTCTGGCTCCAACAGAGTCACAACGGTAGATGCAATGAAGTATCCTCCTGAGAGGAGATGGATATGGGGAAGAGCAGGATCAGCTCTGTGGCTTGTAATACCTGCAGAGACTTTTGTTGCTGAGCAGTTTTGTAAACACTATGACACTCAAGAAATTCCCAGACAAAACCACTATGAACGTTGAATTCATGTTAACCAGCCTTCCTCTAGCTGGCATCTCTTCTCTCAGATGTGACCCTGGAAGTTACATGTGCAGATTCTATTTTGTCTTTAATGTAAATGAAAAGCCTAAATTCAGATAAACCTTTACTCTGCCCCTTGTTTGACACACATGGAGGGTGGGAAAGAAATGAGTAACTTGGATGCAGCTTCTATCTCTCTGTCAAATTAACAACCACAAAAGCTTTTACCATCTTGGACTGTAAAACAGTATGAGCTTCTCTTAACAGCCTGGTGTCGTAGTGGAGGAGCAGTTTTTAACAGCAGCATCCGTAGCAGAGCAATGCCAACTGCTTCTTCTTGTTCAGAGAGTCTGTGTGTTAACAAATACGTTTCTGATCATTATGGGAACAGATGGATCCAAATGCCCAGACAAAACATTTTGCATCACATCAGTAAGACTGAAATGATGAAAGCCCACTAGACCAATGAAATACCACATTTGATATCCAGAGTATCTTTGTGAGACCCACTAGGAAAGCAGCACTGCTGTTATTCTCAGCATTTTGTATCCTAAATATTTGAGTGTCTTCTCCAGAAATGGGAGTGTTAAGTGCAGAGTTAAGTGGATTTTGCCATTTCTGCTCTCACAGACTTCACAGTACATGGAATTAACTTCTAATACAAACTACAACCTGGGATTTCCAAGGTTTTTTTTACTAAAATAAATCATAGATTAACAAAGTTGGGGTTTTGACTGGGAATTATTCCTATCCCTTTAGGATTGCTGTTGGAAAATTTTCAGAGTGCTGCCCTACCTCTCTTGCAAGCCACTTCACCTGTCTGACTGTGAAGTATTGTTTGTTCTGTTACACCAGTTCCCAGCTTAAATTTGTTCCCCTGGGACTGAACCAAGCCAAGCAGTCTCCCAGGTGAAACATCCCCAGTACCACATAGTGGGAAAACGCCCCTTCTTCATTCAGTGTGGAAGATCCCATCCAGTTAGAGTTGATCCATATTGGGGCTTACCCCCATGTGACACTGTCTCTTCCCCTCGCCCCGGTCCCAGGTGCCGGATGTGTTCGCTGACCTTCTACTCCAAGTCGGAGATGCAGATCCACTCCAAGTCCCATACGGAGACAAAGCCACACAAGTGTCCTCACTGCTCCAAGAGCTTCGCCAACAGCTCCTACCTGGCTCAGCACATTCGTATCCACTCAGGGGCCAAGCCCTACACGTGCAGCTACTGCCAGAAGGCCTTCCGCCAGCTCTCCCACCTGCAGCAGCACACACGGTAAGGGCCAGAGGAGGCTGGGGCCCTCTGCACTGCATGTTGCCGTCATCCCAGCATGCTGTGAGCACCTCGGCGGGCGACTGCCTGGGCAGACCTGGCTGGTTGTCACAGGCTGCTCAGGTCTTGTACGCGTCAGACTGGCAGTAGCGGTATCGGACACGTGAGACTGGTCCCTGGCTGTGAGGGGCTGGGTGCGCTCAGGTTAGCGCCGCTCCGCCGGAGAGGCGTCGGCAGCGGAGTGACGCTTTCTGACAGGAGGTAGGGCTGGTTGTGTCAGTGTGAGAGTAGAGCGGGCATAGGACGACTGTTCCCTGTCGCCCCAGCGTAGTTCTGCCAAACATCTCAAGTCCAGGCTTGCAGCCCCCCTGCTATTTCAGCCACAGGCTTCCCACACACAGCTTGCCAATGCCCCTCAGTCCAAGCTCTATAGTTCCTCTCTCTGGATCCTCCCCCGGTGCAGACAGACCATGGTCTCTTGAATCCAAGGGGAGCACAGTTTGAGACCAAGAGAGCTCATGCTGTGTTTGGAGTTCCTTCATGTAGCAGATAGCGTGGTGCTGTCCCACCCCCTTTGTGCCCTCATTCCATCAGCACTAGCCAGATGGCGGTCATGTCCAACTGCTGCTGCTCCTCCTCCTCTTCGGCAGGATCCACTCCAAGCTCCACACGGCGATTGTCAAGCCGCACAAGTGTCCTCACTGCTCCAAGAGCTTCGCCAACACATCCTACCTGGCCCAGCACCTCCGCATCCACTCGGGGGCCAAGCCCTACACCTGCCGCTACTGCCAGAAGGCCTTCCGCCAGCTCTCCCACCTGCAGCAGCACACACGGTAAGGGCCAGAGGAGGCTGGGGGCCTGGCCCTGGTCCCCCCGCGCTGCCGGCATGCACCTGTGGAGCACGCGCGCCAAGCATGCGGGGGGCGGGCGGGGAATGCGGCCGGCTGCACCCCCAGAAGGAGGTGACCCACCTGAGTGGACGGAGTGGAGGCTGCGCAGGAGACACTGACCACGTCAGGGCTGAGGTGGGCACATGCTGTCCCTGGGGATCCTTGGTCTTGCACCGCGGGCGGCACAGAGAGAGAGCGATAGAGAGAGAGGCATTGGCTGTAGGGGATCCCAGCCTGGCACCACGGGGGTTGGACTGAGTGTGTGGAAGCTGCTCCTGGCATTGCAGGGGGACAGGGACAGATTAACACTGTAGGTAAACTCAGCCTGTTACTTAAAAGGAAAAGTGTTGGTGTGTCTATCTTGGAGGGATCAGAGCTGCTTTCTTGGTACTGTGTAAGCAAGAGAACAGATTCCTCTTGGTCATTTGGGACTCCTGAGCTTGGAGCAGGGAGCCTGGACCTCCAGACCCCTTCCCAATACATTTTTAGGTAGCTCACATGCTGAGCTGTCCAGGCGTTCCTAAGCTCTTGCTCCTCGATCCTAGTCACTCTGAAATCTGGTTGACTGCCTGTCTTCAACTTCTAACTGGACGCGGGAGCTGGGCAGAGCTCTCTTTGTCCAGCTAGAGCAGCATCTGGAGGCAACATCATCCCCTTCACACAGCAGCAGGCCCTGGCAGTCTGCCCTGTCTGTCTGCTCACTGCCTCCCATTTGTGCTCTTCCTCCTCAACAGTATCCACACCGGGGACCGACCCTACAAATGTGCTCACCCTGGGTGTGAAAAGGCTTTCACCCAGCTTTCCAACTTGCAGGTAAGGGGCTGGGTGTGTCCTGCTCGCTGGCAGGGGTTGGCAAGGGTGCCTGTGGTAGAGGAGGTGGAAGAAGTGGGGTGGCTGGGAGGAGAGTGAAAAAATATAGAAAGCTATTGAAGCCCTAGGCAGGGAAGAGATTCCTGCCTTGTGGCACTAGTGGCCCAAAGAAGTCACATAAATGGTCACATCCTGTAAAATTAACTTGACTTGAAAGCGGTGAGACCTTAGTGAAGTTCCCCCCATCTGTTTTGCAGTTTTCTAATTTAGCTGGGGCAAGACTTTTGCAAAATGTTACACCTCATAAAGTCTGGATATCTGGGTGGGTTTTCTTTGTTTTACAATGAAATGGAGGGCGTAAGGGTAGGGATTTAGGAAGCAGAGGTGGTTTGTCGTGTTGCAGTACCCTGGAGGAGGGGGACTGTAGAGTGTGCCAAAGAGCAAAGAGCTGTAAACACCTGCAAGCAGTTAAGCAAATCCTGCCCTGAAGATATTAGATGCAGGAAGCAGATGTGTGGAGGGGCAGAAAAGGAGAGACCAGGAAAAGACTGAGAGTTGCATGGAAACTGCGAATATGGGGGTTGTGGAGCATTAAGAGTCTCTGCTCTTCAAATCCCTAGTAAGCATGAGAGGGAAGGGCATGTGTGGGGAAGGTGTGGTGGGCTGGAGGGAGAAGTTCCATCCCTATGCTAGGAGCCAGGTGTACCTTCTTCAGCAGCCAGGAGCTTGGGGCCTGGCTGTAACGGGGTGTTTGAGGTGAAGCTGTCTCCAGTACTAATACTTGCTTCCTTCCTCACGCTTGCTTTCTCTTTCCTCCCTGCTGCTGCCACCCCCCAGTCCCACAGACGGCAGCACAACAAAGACAAACCTTTTAAGTGCCACAACTGTCACCGTGCGTACACGGATGCTGCCTCGTTGGAGGTACACCTGGCTACGCACACGGTGAAACACGCCAAGGTCTACACCTGCTCCATCTGCAGCCGGGCCTACACCTCGGTGAGTGTTCGCTGCCCAGGGGCTGGCAGAAGTGGTCACCTTCCCAGGGAGCAGCTCCTGGAGATCCAATGGGAGCAGTCCCCTGAGTTTCCGTGTCCCTCCCTATTGGCTTTTGCTCTTGCCAGCGTCGTTCCCTCCTCTCACGCGGTCCTTCCCGTTGCAGGAGACGTACCTGATGAAGCACATGCGGAAACACAACATCCCTGACCCACAGCAGCAGGTGGTTCAGGCACAAGCCCAGGCCTCGCAGCAGCAGCAGCACTTCCAGCCGCAGGGCGGGGGGGCAGCAGGGGGCCCTTCTGGAGACACTAACCAACCCAACCCTCCCCCCCAGTGCTCCTTTGACCTGACTCCTTACAAGACTTCAGAGCATCACAAGGACATCTGCCTCACTGTCAGCACCAGCGCCATCCAAGTGGAGCACCTCTCCAGCTCCTAGAGAGACCTCAACCCAGGGAGCAGAACGCCTCTTGTGCATAGCCTGTGCCAGGGGCACCGCTTGTGCAGCGGCCCTCCTCGTGCAACAGTTTCCGGCCTCTCCTCCTGCAGCAGCCTCTCCTGGCTGTGTAACCCTGTTCATGGCACCCCTTTGCACAACAGCCTGTCTCAAGGGGGTGCTCCTTCTGTGCAACAGCCTGCCTGGTAGGAGGATGCTTCCTTGTGCAAGAGCCCCTTTCCTGTGCTGGGATCACTTCCTCATGCAAGAGCCCCTCCTTTGAAACCCAAAGAAAGGCCCCTGTTTTGCCTTCTCTCTCACTGTAGGATGTGTACGAAGCGGGGTTGCGTGTTGAGACACGCATGGTGGATGGGATGGAGAGACGGCCCTTGTATATACAGGGGCTTGGACACATGTTTTTAGCAGGCCACAGAATGTGGCAGGGTTCACAGCTGGATGGGGTTCTTTGAGGATTGCCTTGAGTGTCTAAGAGAGAAATATCCATTCCTATCCCTCCTGCTTGTGAAAGGGAGGAGGGGTCGCTCGTCCTGCCCCAAGGACTGGATGGGAGAAACCTTCTCCCCAGTGGAAGATGAGACCAGTGGAGGGGGGAGAGGTGAGGCATGTTCTCTGGGATGGACAGGTGCCTACACTGCCTAAGGGCTGTGGAGTATTGCATTCTTTCTCCTCCCCTGGTGGAGAGCAGCAGAGAGGAGTCTGTCTGAACTGGCTGCTGCCTCTCTCTCACAGCTGTCTGAGCAGCACAGTGGCCCCGTAGGAATGTGGGTTCCTGCTCATTGCCCTTCCTGCCCGTTGTGGATGATATCCTAGCAGCTTGTACTCCTCCTCCTCTCCCTCCTGCTTTTCCCCTCCTCAGAAAAGTCAGCAGGCATCAACAACAAACCAAAAAGCAACTGGAGGGAGGGTAAGAGACTGCCAAAATAATCATCACCCTTCTCTCTACTCCCTTTCCTGAAAGGTGGGATGACAGCAGTTCTGACACACACACCTGTCCTGCCCCAAGTTTCCCAAAGGGAAAGAGGAGGAGGAGGAGGAGGAGGAATAGACCAGTCTTTTCAAGGGGCTGGCAGGAAGCAGGGAAAGGCTAGCTTCTCCTGCTCATCTCTTGCCAGAGTGCTCTCCCAGGCTCCCTCTTGCCAAGACGGGCTGGACTCACATGGCAGTGGTGGCCTCTTCTGGACCCTGGTCAAGGGAGAGAATCCCCAAAAGGTGGACAGTGGAGAGAAGGGGATGAAGATCCCCACAGAGAGACCAATCTAATGAGAAGGGGGAGCCAACAAGAATAAACTGAAGGCCCCTTGAATTTATATATATATATATATAAATATCTATTCCCCACCCCTGGCCCGCTCTGTCCTTGCTGTAACTGTTTCTATCTCTGTGTTTATAAAACGCATTATCCTGGCGAATTTTTATTTTCAATCTTCGTTTGTTTTTCCCTTTCTCTTCGTCTTCAATTCTCCTTCCTCTTATTTTTTTTTAATTGGTCCACATGACTGCTAGTCTTGTGTGTTACTTATTAGTTTCTTTGGATCATGGAGGCTGACTTGGAAGAGAATGAGAAGGCAAGGGAAAAAGCATGTGTTGTTGGGTTTTAAAATCAGTCACCCACCCAAAGCCTATAGAATCCCAGACTTGTGTATGAACAACCAATAGGGGCTTCTATTTTATTTTTTTTAACCACCCTGTATAGAAATAAATTGGTGTAAAAGGCTCCTTGAAGGTGCTGCTGTGAGCACCCTGCCCCTGTGACGTGTGTTCCTTCCCCCTGCACCCGACCCCTGCAGGAGTCTCTGGCTGCCCCGAGTCTGGAGGGGCCGTGCGGGCAGGCGCGAGGGCAGCACGTCCCTGCCTTTGGCACTTGGCGGTTTGCACAAGGAAAGCGAGGAGCTCTGCACCTGGGGAGCCTGTGGCAGAAACCTTTTTCTCTGCGTTTAGTCACCAGGGTTGGCTGCACACGGGTGGAGTGTTCGGTAGGTGCACAGGCTAGGCTAGAAGGAGCTGTCTGGTTTGACTCCTGCATTTCACAGGTGACATTTCAATCCATTTGGCCTGTACTGAGCCCCAAGAACTGATCAGTATTTGAACTGTGTTGACAAAATGCATTGGCTTGATTTTGAGGCACTGGGACATAAAATCCATTGGTAGCCTGCTGCAAGGGCTTCATGTTTTCACTGTTGAAATATTTAAGCCAGTTTTCCCCTTGCTTTGGCTTCTGGTTCCTGGTTCTGGAAACATTCATCTCTCTGATTTAGAGAACCCAAATGGGACTTTTCCCCCCCAGACTTGCATTTAAACTCTCTAATGTCTCTTCTCAATCCACTTTTTGACAAGGTAAACAGATAGAACTCTGTAAATCTTCCACTGTAAGAGATTTCTTCCAGCCTATGAATTACTCTTTTCTTTCTACATCTTGTCAAAGTTTTCATTATCTTATAAACACATTCATTTTGGAATTGAGTGTTGAAGCCCCAGTGCCATGGATGAAGTCCCCCTGGCTCTTTGCCTTAAGTCTGCAGAGGACTGCATTTTCCCTCCTCTCATGGTGTTATAGAGGAGCTCACAGTGGCTGCTTGTCTGGTCAAGTCTGGTCATCCAAAGTCTCGGCCTTCCATGATAGCGTTTTCCCTTCTCTGCAGGTATGCTCTGTGTTCTTGTTTCCTGGGTGCTTCCCGTGGGGCTGTGTCCAAGTGCAGCCTGTGTGAATGGACCTGGCTGACTGATGGACCAGGTTACTCACAGCTTTCATAGCTCTGTCACCTGCAAACTGTATCAGTTGTTACTTTTACTTTCAGATCCAGGTTGAAATGCAGTATTGCATCTGACCTAACTTGAAAAGCATTGAGTGAAACTTCTCATTAGCTTTTTTTTGAGACTTGCAGGCTGAGCATTTCTTAATCCTCTTAGTATTTGATTATGTACAGTTTATCTTTCTGACTTATGGTGCTAGGTGAATGCCTTATAAAAATTTAAGTATGTTGCACCTATGCAGTCCCCTTTGTTAAACCAAATGTATAATGATGTCATCTAAGAATGAAATTAGGGTTTGGGTTTTTTTTTTTTTTTTTTCTTTTTTTTTTTTTAACTACAGAATCTGTATTTTGTAAAACCTTTATGTTATAGGTTTTATTTTTCCGTTCACTAATTCTTCATCTCTACAATTTTTCCATAATTTTGTCATTGAGTCACTTCATTTGCCTTTTGGGAGTACTGTCATGAGTGTCTTAAGGTATTTGTCTAATATCCCAAGTTTAATTTAAAGATCAGAATCACTGGGCTAGAGAGCCAGTTACTAAACTCTTTCAGGCCTCCTGTTTCTTTGCTGACTTCAAAATATACATCCCTAGTAGGTGTTGTCTCATCTCCTACTTTGATACTATGGTACTAGATAGAAGTTGCTATTTTCATATGACTGCTACATTTTGTTCCTTTCTTTAGATGGAATTGGAAGTATTTCTTGACTGGTTTCTCCTGTTCTGTGTGACTAGCATTTTCACCATTTTTATCTAGCATAGATCAGTACTATTAGTAAGGTTTCTTTCTTTATTTTGTGATTGAAAGGAATGAAAGAGCAAAATATTCCTTTTACCACTAGTTTTTCTAGTCACAAAGCCTTTCTTAAGAGTTTTCTCTATTTTTATAGTGTCTAATTTATGTTGGTTGCTGTCTGACTTTCACCTTTTCCATCTGTTATGTTTCTTCTTACAGGAGAGTTTAATTCATATTTCTCTGCCTTCTTTCTTTTTTTTTTCCCCATGGACAGCTCAGTTTATAGTTTTGCTCCCCTTGGAAGTTATCAGACTCAGGTTTATTACTACTTGTGTCTCTCCTCTGCATGTCCATGTTCCACACGGACAGGACAAAACTGCCAGTTTCACTCAAGTTGTTCTCTCATCTTGAATGCATCATCTTGAAGTCTGAAAAATGACTTGGATTGGGTGCAGTGTCTTTGAATTAAGCTGGGAAGGCTTTAAAAGTCAGAGTAAGACCTTGCTGACTGGTTAAATTCCATGGGGAATGGCTCAAAAGTTAAAATTCTTTGCAATGATTTTTTGGTATATATGTTAAAGGTGTTTGTAATCACCTTTCCTGGTCCCTGGTTTGAGGTTTTCTGCTGTGTGTTGCCCTTCTTGGAATCTGATACCTGGCAGGGGTATCCATATGTATTTGAGGCTGTACAATTCCTGTTACCCGTCATTTCAAAGGTGTTACTGTTCGTGTTTGTGCAGTTTGCTGCTGAGTCTATAGCTTTTACTGTTGGCCAGGAAGAAACTAATTATTTCTTACTAAGGGACTTTTCCATTGAGCTTCAGAAATGCCACTTTATTCCGGGCCTCCTTTTTTTTCTTATCAATGAGAATTTCTCTGTTTACCCAGTCCTGTTGCTGATGTGGAAATAATTGAAGATACCTTGCCCTCATTATCTCTGCCACTTATTTGAGTTTGGATTAGGTCTTCCTCTTTGGATTCCCATGGTTGTTTCACATATTCATAGTGCTCCAGATGGTTTAAAAAGTGCTGTAGCTACCTGCAAGACACAAAATGTATCAACTTGTACAAAATTCTTCCCTCTTTAGATGAAGCCTGAGGTTCTGCAGTCTGCAGCTTTGTGCACTCAAGCCAACAACAGTTCAATTATTTACCTCCCACTCACAAGAGTGGAATATTCGCTTAACAAAATCTCATGGTCCTTCTTCAGCTCCATTAATTCTTTCACCCTGCATTTTCATTGTGCTGCCAATCCATTTGTTTCTGTATGTTTGTACCCAAGAAGACTTGAAAATGACTCTGGAGTTCTGTATTAGGTTGCATCTTGTATCTTTGCTGAAAGGTAATAGCACTTTTCCTTCTTGTCCTTTTCCAAGCTGATTTTCTGCTCTTAGTTGGATTTTACAAATTGTCATTGCTTTAAAAGGAAACATCATGTAGGCTGGAAATCATTTAGAAAAGTCACCCACAAACAGTAACAGAATCTCAGCCGTGACTAATGATAGTATTGCTGGTCTATAATTCAGTTAAATCTTCAAGAAAGATTTAAGACTTTTATAATTTAAAGCCTTATGGTTAATCAACCATGTCCCTTATTACAGTTTTTTTGTTAGTTATCACTGCCATTGAAATTGCCACTCTATATTACTACTTTTTTTATTTTAATGCATAGGGTCTTGGCTATGCCTTTGTTGAGTACATTAAAGTCTTCTGCTATAAGAAGTCTTTCTTCTTGTGTAATGAATTACAGACCATGATCAAGTCACTGTATTCATCTTTCCAAACAGCTGAATTAAATTGAGCTGGTTGAGGTGTTTCACGATAAGGCTTGGCTCCATCATGTAGTTCTTATCTGTTGCCTTTCTTTTCCCTTCCAGCAACCCAGCTGTTCAGTGTTCAGTTAGTCTTGCTACATTAGTCCTAGATGGCTATCTTGAGCCACCAAACTTAGCCTGCCATGCAAGGATATCCAGTTCTTTTAATTAGGACTTTTCCTTCAAATTAAAACAAACAACAATATGTTCCTTTCCTTAGCTGAGTGCGGCCCCTGTCAACGCCACTGTGATTTTGCCACATCAGTGTTAGGTTAACTGCCTTACAACAACCTGGATGAGCCTACTTGCTTTGCAAATACATCTTAAGGAAAAGTATTGGCTGGTCTGGAACACATTCAGAACTTCAAAGTTGTTTGGAAAAGAAAGCCCATTGCTTCCATCTGCTTGCCAGATAATTCTTTTCAAATTACTGATTGTCAGTTTCTAGCTATGCAACTTCTAGGATGTTTTATTTAATGGGTAGAACTAAACATCTTCCTAAATCTCATTGGCAATAGGTAATATTTCATTACCTCATGGATGTGTCTACATCATCCAACTTTCTTCCTAATATAGAATATAATTATGAGATTCTGTCTGTCTTCTATATTTTTATTGATTATTTTATCATCTTTATATCAACTAAAGGATATATATCATGTTTAGGATTTTCTTCTGATATTTTGCAGGTAATGTACCTGAAAGCTGCCCAAGTTTACTAGTGCAGTTTCAGAACACAGAATGAAATTGCTCTGTACACTTCCTTAACTACAAGATAGGTACCTGTTCAGTCGTCCTTTCAGGTACAACAGATTAAATTTGTGTGCATGGTTTCTTGTTTCTGTATAGTAGAACACCAAAGTACTAGAGAGATGTAGTAACTTGGTCCAACAAACATTTCGATTTCATGTAGTGTCTGTGTAATGAATGGAAAAAAAACTGCAAGAAAAGAAATCGTGACACCAAAGAACTAGAGTCTACGCCTAGTTTTGCTACTGAAGTAGGTATGTTTTTGAAACATGGACACAGTTATAATTTGTGGCCTTTGGCATCCTCTTTCATTTGTAAAGTTAATTAACCCCCTCGGGGCCAAGTGCTGCAGATCAATCATTTGCCGTTTGTGAGAACAAAGTGTGGGTACCTCTCGTGTTTCCTGAAGACAGGAAATTGAAAGTTCGGGGACCTCTTAACTGAGAATGTTAAAGAGTGAGAAGAGCTGAACGTACCTCAGCAGCAAAAAGGTAACTGAACAAGGGTCGGAAGTTACAGCTGTCCTGCTGGGTTCTGCATGAGGATCCCTCTCAAGCACTGCCCTTTTCCTCACAGTCCTTGGACAACATTTAAGAAGTCTAGAAGGTAACTAAAATCCGGAGGCTTGGGATGCAGATGTTTACATTTCCAAGGGAAAACA